CCCCAAAACCCCAAAACCCCAAAACCCCAAAACCCCAAAACCCCACTTTTATGAATAAAAATGTGATATAATATAATATGCAGAAAGGTGTAACAAGGAAACAGTTGAGAATCAAGATTCCTGGGCTCCCAGAAAGATACGAGATCATGAAGAAATTAGCATCAGGCAGTTACGGCAAAGTCTATGTTGCCAAGGACAAGGTCGGCATGAAGATTGTCGCGATTAAAATCGTTACACAACTTTTTATAGACTCGGTTGACGCTATCAGATCTTTGAGGGAAGTCTCCTTTCTGAGACAATTTGATTCTGATAGTGTGGTGAAACTTCTTGATTTAGGATTCCTCGGTGACCCTCAATCTTATAAATCCATGTACTTAGTGATGGAGTTTTGAAGGAGAGATCTCAGAGAACTACTCCAGCCAAAAGAAAGCGCTATGAAGGAGTCTGGAGTTTACTTTTCTAAACATCAAGCTATGAAGATTATTTATGGAATTTTGAAGGGAGTCCAATATTTACACTCAAAAGGAGTAGTTCATAGAGATTTAAAGCCTGAAAATGTGCTTTTGGATAATGATCTCAATGTCAAGTTATGAGATTTTGGCCTATCAGTTAAACTTTCTGATCCTCCTGAAGCTAAGCCAGTCTTTGGAGAGGAATTTAAACAATCGAGGGTGAGTACTGAAGCTTCAAGTAAAAGAGATTGCTTGAACTTTGATGACGATTCTAGCTCAGATGACGAATCGTCATATGTGGATGAATATCAAACTTTCTCTGTCTCTAAATCCAAATCTGTAAATGAAACAGCTGGTATGTTTCTGAGAGAAGAATCGAAATGAATGTACGGACAAGATAGTTCATTTTCAGAAGATGATCCTGATATGTGAGATAACCCAATGGTGAATGCTTTTTGTAAGTATCCCTCAACTTGGAGGTTATAACTCGTGATAAATGTTATCATCTCAGATTTCTTCAATTCTGGTATAATTTCTTCTAATAGTCCGAAAAACGAAGTTGACTGGATCTGAAGAAGTGAAAAATATTTTAAAAGTAGGTGGCTACTTTGTTTAATTTCTGAATTTTCATTTTAGAAAACAACTCCAAAACTAAGGACAGTAAAGAGAAAAATTGACAGAAAGATGACATCCCACATCGGCACAAGAAACTACAGGGCTCCTGAGGTCATTCTGCTCCAGAAAAATTATAGCTATGAGGTTGATAATTGGTCTGTTGGGTGAATAATAGCTGAAATTTTGCAACTAACTTGATTCGAAACTCCACACGAGTTTCTGATCAAAAGCACTATTTTGTTCCCTGGTGAATGCTGTTACCCTCTATCTCCAAAGAAGAAGAGTGAGAGTGTTAACAAGGGCTATCCCTACAATAAGAATGACCAACTTATGTGTATCCTGAGAGTTTTAGGCTCTCGTGATCATCCTGGTGACACCGAATTCATCAATGGAGATAAATTGAAAAAATACCTAGCAAGTCTTCCGAAATTCGAAGGATGCTTGAAGACATTTTTCCCTCATGTTACAGATGAAGATTCTCTAGAATTGCTTCAAGGACTGCTTGAATTCAATCCTTCGAAGCGACATACCATTGAGCAGTGTCTCAATCACCCATTCGTATCTGAACTAAAGAAGCAAGATGTGACAGATAAGGCCTATGATTATGGAAGTAAGATAGAGCTCAAATTTGAGAATTTTTGGCACAAAAACATCTCTAAAAAAGAGCTTCGAGAGCTATTTAAGGAAGAATTTGAGCTATACTTGAGCAATAAATGTTAAATTTAACTTGTAATAAACAATTTGAGGCTAAAGCTCTTTATGATAATTTGTGTAGACGAAACATGTAGCTTTGATAAACAAATCTCCTGCGTTTCAATTTTTGAGTGAATATATGGGGTTTTGGGGTTTTGGGGTTTTGGGGTTTTGGGGTTTTGGGGTTTTGGGG